TGGAGGAGAGTAATATTCTCCAGTTTCTTCCCCTTTCTGTATTCCCAATTTTTAAAATTTCCTTTAAGAATTCCTTATATTGAGATTTTGAGATTTTTATCTCATCTTCAGAAGATAAGGTCTCTGCCTCATTAGTCTTCTTACAGCTTCAAGCTCTTCCTATAAAATCTTAAGATCTCTTTCTCATTCTGGTGATGACTCTTCAATATTCAATACCTCTAAAAGCATTTGAGGTAGGGTCAGCATCAGTGGTAATTCATCAGTGAGAGTGACCCCTGACCACTTTGTCCTTCCTCAACATATCTCCCTTTTTTTTTTCAAACTACACTATCAGAGATTCCATTATCTGAGCAGCTGTCTGATTCTGTTTGAAGAGCCTGTAAAGTTTGGGAGACAGGCTTGAGCCAGGGATGAAAGTCTTATTGACAGCCATACAGCAGGCCTGAGGCAACGGCCCGACTGCTGGAGCCACAAGGAATGCCTTATGACATTTTGCTTCCCATTGGAAGATCAGAGGCTGACTGAAACTTATCATGGTAATAGGGCATCGGGCATGGGCCGCTAGATTGTAATAGGATACTAGTCTGCCATGCTAATAAGGGATCCCATATGCTGTGTTATGATTGGACTATTACTCTCATATAAGCCTGTACTTTCCTGCAATAAAGCAGATCTGTGTCACTGAACCCGGTCTGCTGCACCTGAATGCGGCGACGCTGGTGCAGACTCCTCACCAACCCTGGGGTCGAGACCGGATGACTGATTGGAGGAACTAAGAGAGCAGGAGAGTGGCCATAGCTGGGGGAGAGCAGCCACAGCCAGCAACCCCAGTAAAGCATTAGCAATAAGAGTACAAACAGACCACACCAGAATGGGAATTATCTACCCTTGCTGATGGGTTCTCTTAAGATTTCATAATCTGAGTCCATACTTTATCATTTAAAACAGTCAGCCAATATAACCAATGACAATTTTTTTAAACCTGTTTAAATAAATCTTTGGAAGTTTCATCTTTTACTCCCCCTCCTTTCAAGAGGGCGTTAACAACTGGATGTATTGCTCATCCATTGACTGGAATTCCCCATTTACTTTGCCAATTATTATCAAAAATTTGCTTACCTTGCATACCA